CTACAACAGACACATGGGTCAATGCAAAGAGCTTACTCCAAAGGTTCTGTCATATTGTCAGAGCTACAGTTTTGATTTTTATTAGGGATGTTCCCATTTTGCTCTTCAGTTATAAACTCTAAGTATTCTGTTTCAAGAAAATGCATCCAAATAAATCCTGTCATTTAGAAACACATTCAACACTTGGAAGCTAAAAGTGTAGCCAAAAATAAACACCGCTGGTCCTTAAAGCAGCCTCATAAACACCATATTTTGGTATTTCCAGAGAGATGCTGTTATTAGGGCTGCTTAGAGCAGTGAGTCGCCACTGTAGATGGCCACCAGGATAATTCAGGCAACCAACCTACCCACTCTTCATCCATCAACATGCCCAGTCCAATGAACTCTTTCTCCTGAGGGGTAGTGGAAAGGGTGCTCTTTATCCAGATGTGCAGGAACAAAATCTCCACACAGTCGAAACTGACCAGAACATTCTCAGCCTTCCAAGCCTTCTTCTTGCTCTAACTACAAGTACAATTTTCAGTACAAACATATGTCCCTCATAATAAACATGCTCTATCTGCAATTCCTGAAATTCTGTATTTAATCATGGTGGTTTTCCTGTGTAACTGCCTAGGTACAACACAAACACCTGTTTGGTTATCACCTGTGCTCTACAAAATATTAAAAATTCTTCCTCATCAGTGCATCAGTGATAAGGTTAAACCATACACAATCAAAAGGAACCAAGATACAGGATGGTTTCTTTTTCTTTTCATTAAACTTTCATACTGTAAAGTATGACTGTCATCATTCCCAATGCACCCAGAACAGGACGATAATACACTGGTTCAGTATGTGATACATCTAACATTAATATTTCCTACCCTGGAATGCATTTATAATTAACTGGCTGAAAGATTTATAATTTTTTAAAAGAAGTTCACGATTATGTCTTCCACAAACAAGAACACTATATTACCCCATGTTTCTATAATTTATTCATTATTTCTGGTCCTAATTTCTAGCAGGAGAATCATAAATAAATTCATCCACTAAGCAAATGTTTATTGAGAGAATTCTATAAGTCAGATATTGTGCTTGAAGCTAGGATTTAATATTGAACAGAACAGACACAATCCCTACCCTCATAAGCTTGCAGTAGACTCAGAAGAAAATTTACAATCAAATATAAAATTCAGTCTAAAAGTCTATGAGCAAATTATTCTTCCTCTTAAGACTGGCCTAAACATTGCCTGTTTTCAATAGGTAGAATCCAAAAATAAAAAGGTTTTGTTAAATCTTCATATTAAGATCTAAAGAGTAAAGATTTCAAAGACATGTAAAATTAGAACAGTTTAACTAGAAAAAATGTATCTTCTAGAAACTGAAAAAAATTTCAGAATGAATATCTATGTCTTGGAGCAGGCATTCAGGATCACTTGTTTTACGTAGAAAGACAAAATAGCACTAAATGATGTGTATGTACCTCCAATAGAAATATTTAGTGAATATTCATAAGTATTAATCAATTAAAGGAAATATAATGTACTTTGCACCTAGAAAGTATATGAAAAACATCAACCAAGTTAAAAGAATGTAGGTCTTATATATCTATGTAGAATACAAAGAGTAAGACTTGAGTGCCAAAGAAAATAAACACTAATATAAATGAATTCAGAGAATAAGTTAAAGGACAAGAATTCAGAAATGTATGTATATATGTGTATACACACACATACACACACACACACACACACACACACACACACACACATATATATTTTTTTTTTTTTTTTTTTTTTTGAGTCAGTCTCACTCTGTTGTCCAGGCTAGAGTGGAATGGCATGTTCACAGCCACTGCAGCCTCAACCTGCTGGGCTCAGATGGTCGTTAGCCCAGCAGGTTGCTGGAACCACAGGTGCATGTCACCATGCCTGGCTAATTTGTTGATTTATTGTAGAGACGTCTTGTCAGGTTGCCCAGGCTGGTCTTGAACCCCTGGACTCAGGCAATCCTCTTGTCTCTGCCTCCCAAGGTTCTGGGATTACAGACATGAGCCACTGCACCTGGCTAGAAATTAATATATTCTTATGGTGGTAGACTTCAGGGTTCATTTTGTAAAAATTAAAATCAAAATATATAAGTACTATGGAATGAATGTGGAAGACACTAGCATAACTGCTATATATAAATCAAAATGGCCCAAATTTGCTGCCATACTTTCATTTAGTCAAGTAATCACCATTTTCCTTTTCTAAGTTCTCCATACTATTAATACATAAAAGTAAGTGAGCAAAATCAAGGGTTCACACTTTTATCCCTACCAAACAAATCCTTTTCCATTAAAATGCCATGCCTCAAACTAAAATTCACTTTGAAAATAATTTCATATTAAAATTTACTTCAATATAAGGGTGATTCCTCCATATAAATACACTGGCAAAAAAATTAATAGATCTTTGCCAGGCGTGGTGGCTCAAGCCTGTAATCCTAGCACTTTGGGAGGCCGAGGTAAGAGGACTGCCTGAGCCCAGGGGTTTGAGACCAGCCTGAGCAACTTGGTGAGACTCGTCTCTACAATAAATCAAAAAATTAGCTGGGATGGCGGCGTGCGCCTGTAGTTCCAGCTACTTGGAAGGCTGAGGCGGAAGGATTGCCTAAGGCCAGCAGGTCGAGGCTACGGTGGCCGTGAGCGTGCCACTGCCCTCCAGCCTGGGCAACAGAGTGAGACTCCAACTCAAAAACATACATATATTAATAAATCTTTAAAGGATGTGAAAGGATACATTCGCCTCTGTAGTTTTTGTTTAAATGAAGGAAGGAACCAGAAAATTCACCCTATAGTACTAATCAAAGTTAGCAAATCAGGAACTCAAGTGAAACCCCCTCCTGATACCCGCCCTTATTCAAATCAACCCTCCTAGATTCAAAGACTCATGAAATCATACACATACATCTCTACACTTAGTATACACTACTATATAAATAGCGTAGGTATTGCAGTAGTTCTATTACAAAAGCAACACACATACAGAACATGAAGCAGTAGCAATCCTTCCACGATGTCCAGGGATCATATTTCTGGCAGAAACCTGTATCATTTTTAAATATTGCTCATAAATGTAGGTGCTACATTAATGTCACATTTTTCTAACATTTCTAATAGGCCATATTTGGGGACAGGCTGGGGCTATATTAAACTCTACTCAAATATCCAATGAGGGGGAAAAAGTTCTCTACACTTACCACCATTTAGCAGTAAAACTGTTTTACTTTACTTTTTATTCTAAAAAAAATTATCTCTAAGTTCATTTTTAAAAGCACAGTATGTTATTCAAATACACAGTATGTAATTAAGCATCCACATAAGAGCATTTCCCTTTAGTCAAACAGGCCTTCAAACAAAACCCCTGGGCTTTAACCCATAGCTGCTGGGAAACCCAGGGCTGTCACATTTCAGGCAATTAGGGTTGTCTAGAGAGACCTAAAACGCCCTGTTCACGGCTAAACAAAAACAAAGACCATACACAGGGCAAAATAAGAAGAAAAATACAGTTCTTAAAACAAGTCTTTCTAAAACACATGCTCTTCCCCTTTAATCATGCACTTGAACACTCTGTATATTCTCTTGCCCCCTCTAATTTGTTCTCAATCTTGAGAATTCAGAAAACATTCAACTGTACGTTGTCAGCCACTAGAAGTAGCTCAAAATGAGAATTTTTTTAAAAAAGACCTTTATTTTCCAACTGCAGTTTTCCTCTCCCCTGGCTTCATTCCCTTAATCCCACCTCTGTCATCCAGTGCTTTGCTTTCTCTTCTTTACAAACATGTGCACATTTATCTAATAGGGTTTCAAAATGAAGACATAAAGCATGGCCTGTGAATTAACCATTTGTAACTATGTGTGATCCTCATATTCTCTTCCTGCTTGTAAATGATCCAGTACATAAGCAGTTCAGTCCCAAAGGCAATTGGTTCTTTGAGCCAGCAAATGGAATGCTCAAGGAAGAAAATGCATGCTTCTCAGACCCAAACTGACAGGACCATATTCTTTTCTTACAGAAATGTTTGAGAAACGTATTTATTATACTAACAAATATCTAGAGCACAAGTGCAGACAATTTTCAGGCCTGTTACCGCAAAGCTGTTCGCTCTTCCTTCCACAATAGCCCAGAGTTATGTCACGCTGGATCATATATGGACACCAATCGCCTGATTCTGAACGTTCTCTCAGAGATAATAATCAATAGAATTCCTATTTTAGAAATGGCATTTTCTCGCTAACTTCGTGTTACAGCAGAATGCTGGGGTTTTTTCCGAGATTAGAGGGTCATTTTTGCTGCAGGCTTCCCGTTTTCCTTCTAGCCCAGATTTCAAATGCTGTCTTAAACAAAAGGTTTCTATTTGCTTCCATGAGAGCAATTTAGAGACTACTACTGCTTTCAGTAGTAGCTATTATGGATTCAGGCCTACATCTGGGTTGCTCATTAAACAAAAGATACCGGTCGCTGTCAGCCGCCACACAGCACAGCGCTCTCCTACCCCTCATCTTTAGCCGGAAGGAATGGTGCAGACGAGAAACACGCCTGTCACCAACCACTGGCCAAGAAACTCTTCCGAGCTCCCTCCTGCCGACGGTCTGATGGCTGGAGAACAGCACTCGTGTGGCACATTTGGGCTTGCCCTCCCGCCCCGCCCCCGACACAGAGGCCCTTTCTTTGCAGAGCCAACCACTCGGCTTCCTCATCACCACTCCTTGGAGAATCCAGTCGCGCGCCTGCCCACCCTGCCACCATTTCCCCCTTGACCCCACTGATAATGGATGCACCCAGCCACCGCACGCCATTCCCTAACGTGCCCTGGCTCCGCCGCCACCCTCGGGGTCACACACACACACACACACGCCCTGGCTCCGCTGCCACCCTCGGGGTCACACACACACACACACACAGCTCTCGGCTACACCACCCCACGGGGCGCGGCGGCCACAGCACTGGAAGTTCAACCCCACTGCCCACCTTTCCACCCCCGCGCCTCGGGCCCGAAGTGATCTGCCATTTGGCAGATGCACAGCAGATAATGCACAGCGCTCGGGGACACGAAAAGGCACGAGCCGAGGCACCGGGCAGGGCGGCCCCGACCCTTCTGCCTTCGGGTGCGTGTGCGTGTGTGTGTCCACGCGCGCGCCCG